AGAAGATCGACGTGGGCGAGCCCGAGCCTCGCACCGTGGTCAGCGGCCTCGTGCAGTTCGTCCCCAAGGAGCAGCTCCAGGACAGGCTCGTGGTGCTGCTGTGCAACCTCAAGCCCCAGAAGATGAGGGGTGTGGAGTCGCAGGGCATGGTGCTGTGCGCTTCCAGGTGAGGAGCACACGGAGCCCCCGAAAAAGAGACCCGCGGGCCGGGTGCCGCGCCGGGGAGCGCGTCTACGTGGAGGGCTACGAGGGCGGCCAGCCCGACGACGAGCTCAAGCCCAAGAAGAAGGTCTTTGAGAAGCTGCAGGTGAGGCCTGCGCCAGGGGCTGAATCCCTGGGGCTCCGGGCATGGAGCAGGGGAGCGGTTGGGACCAGCTGGACCCGGCTGCGGCCCCACAGTCTCATTACTCCCCATCTGCTGCCATCCTGACCCTCGGTCAGGGGGCTACCACAGGCAGCCCCGGCCCCCCCACAGGGACCCCATGTCTCTCCCTTCTGCTCCCCAGGCCGACTTCCGCATCTCCCAGGACTGCGTTGCCCAGTGGAAGCAGAGGGACCTCCTGACCAAGCTGGGGAGCATCTCCTGTAAAACGCTCAAGGGGGGGACCATCGGCTACGGGGGGATCCTCGGGGGGGTCCCCGCGCCGCTGCAGCCAGCCCGCTGCACAGGGCCCCGAGGGACCCAGGGGCTTGGGGCTGAATCTGTGACCCCCTCCCCAGCCCCTTGTAAGAGCACGAGGGCTCCTGGGGAGCTGCCTCTGCCACCCCCTCACCCTGGGCCTGCCTGGCCTGTGCCAGCGCTGGGGACTTGCAGTGTCACCGCAGCTAAGTGAGCGGTGATGTATGCTCCATGTCCCCAAGCTTCCTGCCAGGGCCACTTGTGCCACCAGCCCGGCCTGCCCTTCCCGGCTCGGGGACCAGGGCTGCGGGGGGAAGCAGGGATTGCTAAAAGGGAAGGCCACTTGCCCCAACCTGTGTTGCTGCTAACGGGGCCGGGGGCGACTGCCTGGCACCCCCTGCTCCCCGCGGGCCGCTGCTCCTGCTGCTGCCGGGCCAGGAGCCCCGGGTCTGCAGCAGCTCCATCCCGAGCCCAGGCTTGGCACGGGGGGCACGAGCCCTCAACACCAACTCGGGAACCATCCGTCTGTCATGAACCCTAATAAAGTGTCAAACTGACTGCACCTCGTTGTGCCCGGCCCTCTTTGCTCCTTGCTGCCGGGAAGAGCCGAACGCCGGCGCGATGGGGGCACGGGCAGCGGTGCCGGAGCTGCCCGCGCCGCTGCCCTGGCACACGCGGCAGGAAGCACAGGAGGCAGCGAGCTTTGGTCATCATCTTTACCAGCCAGGTACAGAGCTCTGAGCAGCTACTCGGCGGCAGAGGGGTTGGTTGCTTTTGTTTTTTTAAAAGTTTTTTGTTTTCTGTCTTTTTTTTTC